TCCAAGCTGGGGCGGAATTGAGGGGCTGGGAAGGCGGAGGGGCGCTGTGAGAGAGGGGGCAGCAAACGCGACAGGAAGATTTCCTTTACAATCTTAAAGGGGTCGCCGCATAGTGAAAAGAAAGGGGATTTAGGCTTACAGCAGGGAGGATTCAAGTTAGATCAGGAGAGGGACTTTTCATTGAGAGGAAAACACTAGAGCGGAGGTGGAAACTTGGATGGGAGGCGTCGGGTCTGGGCACGGGTCTTGGGTTCACTCTGCAGCAGGGAGTGGGGACTGAGGTCTAAGAGGGTGTCCAGCGCCTCTCCCTTGAAGTGCTGATGACAATGGGTGGAGGGCTAGGGGAGTGAGGACCATGGAGATGGGGAGCCGGTAAAGCTTGTGAAATAAGTTTCTCTTTCTGCTTGCTAAATTTGGGGGATGTAAAACAGGTGAAAGGCCTGCCAGGGGAGAATGCCCCTGGGGATGGAGAGGGAAACTCCTCTAGTGGGGTGGCTTGCTTACAGATGGGGCTGGTTTCCAATTTTACTGCTGGCAGAATAATGAAAGTGATCTGCTGTCCCAAAGGGATGGAGGTGTATGTGAAGAACTTACTAGGTTGGTGTAGGACCAAGATGTCAGTACGAGTGAGGGAGATAGGACGTTCACAGGAGCTGGTGGGGACTCTGCCAGGGGCTGGGGGTCACTCGATAGAGGGAAGAGAGGTGCTGACACTGGGGAGGCTGGATGCGTCTTTGAGGGAGAAGAACTGGGCATGGGGAGAAGGCACGAGGGTTTTGAGGGAGTGGCTGGGTAGGGGCCGGAGCCAGAGATCTGTTTATTTAGTCTTAAACGGAGCAACTGGCAAGTTCCAGTCAGATGAATGCCTGGTTCTCTGGGGGCCCTGGAATCATCCTCTTTTCTAAGGGGTCAGCCTCAGTCCTCAGTCGCCTCCTCTCCCCGGCAGCCCTTCCCTGAGCTGGATTTCACATTGCCCTTTCCTCTCTTACCTCCCAAAATAACCTCCCCTGCCCTCCCCCCTAGCCATATCCCTTTACATACAGTAGGCCAGGCCAGGCTGTTTCTTCAGGGCAAGGCTGGGGTTATAGGGACCCAGGGGGCCAGTTCTATCTGCTGTTAACTGGCCGCTGATTTGCTGTCACTTGGAGTCCAGGAATGACCCCCCTACACCCAGCCTACATCTGCGTGGTCCCTTTGCTCTCTTTGATATACCAGGGCCAGCCCGGGGGGGGTCCCCAGATCTCTCCCCTTCCCAAGTGACAGTGGAGGGAGGGAATGTGAGGGCATGAAGCCAAAAGGATAAGGATATGATGGGGACACCGGGACCCAGTAGGACTCAGCACTTGCTCCGGCTTTCCCTCCACTCGCCCATCTCCTAACCACACATACACAGGGCCAGGTTGGAGGTGCCCTTTAAATAGGTGACTTGTCCCTCCCCAACCCCATTTCACCAGGCCCCTGGGAGCTGGAACTTGAAGCCAGGATTCCCACACCCCTATCTCTGGGGACTCAGACTCCCCTCACTGGGCCTCAATCTCCAAATTTATAAAATGGGCAGAATAGTACCTCGCTGAGAGGGCTGAGTACCATATGAGGTGAGGTCCTGGCACAGGGCAGGCCCTTGATTAACTGAGAGCTGTTATTATTGTCATGTCCTCTCCTGGCAGGACAGCAGAGTTAGGAGGATCACCTCTTCAGGTTTTCAGAAGACCCTCTGCACCCAGCCCTGGTCACCCAGTTTGCCTGCACCTCTTCCGTATTTCCTTCTTTCCCTGAAACTTCGGTTTGGTCATGGAAATTCTCCCCCCCCCCCCCCACGAGCCTCACATCCACCCTTCACGTTACCTTCTCAAGCTCCAGATTCTCAGACTCCCTTCCCCTGAAATCTTTGGGTCAGGAGAGGGCCCAGAGCGCTCAGGCTTTGGAGAGATGGATGATGGGGGGGTGCGTGGGTTGAGGGGTCCTGGGAGCAGCCGGTGCTGGGGTGGAGGCAGAGGAGGCGAGAGCAGGGAGAGAGAGGAGAGGCAGCTCCTGGTTCTGGCTTCAGAGGAGGCTGGGGGTGGGTGAGCAAAGCGTTTGTGGGTACCAGGGAGGGGAGTGCAGATGACTGCAGCCTTTGGTGCCAGGGTCTCCTCGTGGGTTGGAAGAGGTCTGTGAAGGTGTGTGTATGACGTTTTGACCTTTTCGACGCCCAGAGCTGGGTGAGCAACTGTGGGTGTCTGTTGGGCTTGTGGGTGGAAGAAGACGTGGGTCGCCTGCTTGCGGGGCTGGGAGTTGCGATGCCTGCTCTTAGAGCCCTTCCTAGAATGTCTCAGCCAGCCCCATCCTAGCCCTTCCCTGGCTTGCACGTGTCTGTGCAAGGTGTGCTTGTTTGTGTGCAAGTGTTCACGTCCCTCCTGCAGTCCCAGCCCCACAGGAGGAGCAGCAGCTCTTCCACGTGGTGCACTTCTGGGTCCATGAAATATTTAAGGTTACAGGGATGTGACTGGGTGATGCAATTACTGAACAGCTCCCACCTGCCCCTGCTCTTGGTGCTGGGCTCTGGCTTAATGGGCTGCTCTTTGTGGCTCTCAGCACTTTCCGGTTTTATTTGTCCACCCTCCTTATCCCCCACCAGCCTTCTCATGCATTGATTCACTGACCCCCTCGACCAAGCAGGAAGGAGAGAGGTATTTTGCGCTTTGCTTTTCAAGAGCAGGGGTGTGTAGAGAGGTGATGCTGGGCTGGGCCACCTGGGTTGGGATTTGGGAGGTCGGAGTTCAGTCCCTTCCTCTGCTGCCAACTCTCTGGGCCACTCTGGGGCAATCACTCTCTGCTCTGCCCCAAGCACACTGATCTCAGTTTCCTCATCTGTAAAATGAGGAGACCCAGGTGACTGTGCAGGTTTCTTCCTGTTCTAATATTTGTCATTCCAAGTTAGGGATGCTCCCATCATATAGGCAGGCAGTCTCGAAACCAGTCAGAACCCGGGACACCGGGCCCTTACCTCTATCTTTGCATCTCCCTGCTGGCCAGTGTGGCGGGGCTAAACTCCTGCCTGTTAAATACATGATGCACATGCGCTTTTCACATACTCGGCTCTGAGGATTTTATAAACCCAAAGGAGCAGCGACCCTATCCAAGTGGTTTCCCCCTGGGAAGCCATATGCTTGCACCAATTTGCTGCAATTTCTCAAACATGGAACACCTTTGGAATCCTCTCAGAACTTGTGGCATATGCTCTGAAAATCCTTCCTGGGGCATGAGTCTCTCCTTTGAGGAGGCTCTGCTCTTCTGGAAATAAGTAGGAATCTTTAGGGGTCATGCCTGGTGAAGGAGGGAGGTCAGGTGGGGAGCAGAACTTCATCTGGAACCCAGGTGTGGGGACCCTGCAGGGAGGCTGCCTGCCCCCTGGGGCTCCAAAGCCCATCTGGAAGGTACCTCTGCAAGAGAATTTTCCAGACCTTCTAGTGAGCCGCAGCAGCACTGTTAGGTTAGATGTGTGGCCTCTTCGGATGACTTGGAAGGCCCAGCCTCCTCCAACTGCACGAGTCCCAGTTTGCCTGTGAAGAGTGATTTATTTAGTTTTTTGGGGGGAGGAGGAGGTAATTAGGTTTACTTACTTCTTTATTTTTAGACAGCGTACTTGGGGTTGAACCCAGGACCTTGTGCATGCTAAGCATGAGCTCTACCACTTGCGCTATACCCCGCTCCCCCCGCACCCCCCCCAGCCGTTTGCCTGTGAAAAAGCCCGTGGTTGCAAATCTGCCAGGCTTGGGTGCACACCCTCCTGCAGCTGGCACTCTTGGGAATGGGGCCAGAGCTGGTGATTTCAAACCAAGGGGATGCTCGTTTCCAAAATGCTTTGCCTCTTCTTGAACCACAAACTGGTAGAGGTGGAAGAGACTTCAAGATCAGCCAATCCACCGCTCCTGAGCTTGAGAGAGGAAACTGAGGCCAAGAGAAGGGAAGCAGCTCTCCCAAGGACTTGGACCCATGCCAATGCTTTTCCCAGACTTGGTGGCTATGACAGGGCAATGGCTGAAGCCGAAGCAGGGGCATGGACCAGATGACCTCTTGAGATGCACTTTAACCCTATAATCAGCACCTGTCTAGAAGTCCCCAGCTATCCTCTAGCTAGCCCCTTCCACCCCAACTCTCTAACACATTGAATTTCTACTTCCAACCAATCTTTATTGGGTATCCTTATGTGCCAGGCATTGTGCTAAGTGCTAGGTGCTGGAGCACAAAACAAATTGTCTCTGTCCACCGGCATCTCACAGCCTAGCAGGGCTCCGAGGGGACTAGGGTAACTAAGTTGTTATAAATGATAAATATTGCAAAGGGAAAGTACGAGAATGTGGTGCACTGAGGAAGGAGGGAGGTCAGTATGACCCCTGACTGCTCAGATAAGTCTTCTGGGTTCAAATCCCAGCTCTGCCACTTCAGGCAGTTTCTTTACCTGTAAATAACAGGTATCTCTATTATCATAGTGATGATAATGGGCTCGGGGATGAGGTGATGTCCTTAGAGAGCCTGGCTCAGTGCCCGGCACCCACCTAGCTCTGGAGAAACTCACGTGAGTACTGAAGAGCTCATTGTAGCCTCTGTTTTCTTCTCTGACTCTGGAAAAGACGGAAATGAAGAAATGGGGATTTCAAGCTTACAGAATTGGGAGGGGGTCTGCAGAACACCCCCCCATCCCTTTCCAGCCAGATCCTGCTCCTCCCACCCGTGTCTGATCAGCTGTTCCTGGTGGCCAGCTGCGCCCTCATCAACATGGATGATCACCCCGACTGGCTAATTAACACCCGTCTGGTTAATGATTATATCTAACGACTTTGACTTGGGGGTGGGATGGAAAATTCCCCAGCCATAGGACAGGATGAGGGTAGGCTACCAGGAGTTGGAGGGAAGGGCCCCCCTGGGCTCTGGACGCCTTGCTGGTGGTAGGTGGCTGAGGGAGCAGATGCCTGGTTTGCTCCCGGGGCTGCTCAGCAGGGGAGTGTGGATGGAGGGGGGTCATTTGAAAGTTACAGTCCATCCTCCTCCCCCCACTCCTCCCAGGCTTGGCAGAGGGCACTGGGCGCCAGCCCAAGCCTTGGCATTCCTCTGGCCAGGGGCTGGCCATTGAATGCTGCTGCAGCTGGAAGGACACGGTGAGACGGAGTACTAGCTCTCAGGGCTGCTGGAACAGAGTACCACGAACTGCGTGGCTTAAAACAGCAGGGATCGACTCTCTCATGGTTCTGGAGGCTGGGAGTTGAAATTGAGGTGTCCGCAGGGCTCTGCGCCCTCTGAAAGCTCTAGGGGAGAACCTTCCTTGCCTCTGTCAGCTTCCCACAGCCCCAGAGTTCCTGAGTTTGTGGCAGGGTAACTGCATTCTCTGCCCTTGTCTTCATGTGGCCTTCCTTTCTCCTGTGTGTCTCTCTGGGTCCTCTCCTCTTTCTGTAAAGACAATAGTTAGTGGTTTTAGGACCCACCCTAAATCCAGGATAATTTCATCTTAAGATCCTTAAGGAATTACATCTCCAAAGACCCTATTTCCAAATAAGGTCACATTCTGAGGTTTGGGGTGGACATGCATTTTTGGACACACTGTGCAACCCACTACAGATAGAGTACCTGGGGTCAGGGATGTGGTGAGTACCCCAGGAGGCCATGCTGGAGCTGATATGGGAGATGAAGGCATGTGTCTCTCTTCCACTCCCCAAGTTGGGGAAGTGCTCAGGACCCAAGGGTGGAGCTGGACTGGATCTCAAGAGCCTATTGGTGGTACAGAGGCAAAGGGATGGGAGTATGGGTGTTCTAGATTAAGGAAAGAAGGCTGAGGAGACTTTGAAGGGAAAATCCTGGGTCCCTGTAATTTAGTCCCATTGGAGGGGAGAGTGTAACCTGCATTATATTATATATTGTATATTGTACATATTGTTGTGTATCTTACACATTACATTTTATACTATTATTTTATGACAACCACAACTTGTCATGAAATAAAAGCTTAAAGTTGCATTTTGATTACCTGATGAGTTTGATTTCATGATGCAATCCTTATCTTTATTGGGCTAGTCTGCAGGGATAATTTATTCCCTTGCTCCTGGGAGGAAACCCAGGAAAGTCTATTCTTCTCACTCTCAGATAAGAGACAGGTTTCATTCCGAAATGAGGATGACCAGGCCAATATATGAATCAAAACCTGAAACTATTTTTTTGGCCTGATATTCTTAGTTTCTTAAATTGAAATATAGCTGATTTACAATATTGCATGAGTTTTAGTTATACAGTATAGTGATTCAGTATTTTTTTTTTGCAGATTACATTCCATTATAGGTTATTATAAGATATTGGGTATAATTTTGTGAGCTATACAGTACATCCCTGTTGCTTATCTATTTTATGTAGTTTGTACCTGTTAATCCCATAACTTCCAATTTATCCCTCCCCCACCCTCCACCTCCCGTTTGGTAACCATGAGTTTGTTTTCTAGATCTGTGAGTCTGTTTCTGTTTTTTATACACATTCATTTGTATTATTTTTTAGATTCCACATATGAGTGAGACTGTATAGTATTTGTCTTTCTTGGTCTGACTTATTTCATTAAGCATAATATTCTATTAAGGTCACTTTTCTGCAGCCTGCTGGGCCCTACTTCAGTTGGAGCTGAGAAAGGGGCTAGCGGTGGGCTTCTCTTTTCCCCAGCCCTCGACATTCCCCCCTCCCCCTGAACTCTCACTAGCAGCTGTTTCTGAGGAGGTGGGGGTGGTGTGAAGCAGACAGAAGGGGCGGTGAGTTTTCTCATCCTTTGGCACAGCAGCTGCTCCATCAGCTGGTAGTGTCCTCGCCCTTCCTCTCCCATGTTCTCTACTGACTGTTCTCTCATGGTGCTTTGCTGGATACTCAGAGCTTTGCCATCAGTCCCACTCACCTGTCTTTCCTTATCCAGGAATCTGAACTTCCTTCCTCAGCTGCTGGGGTCTCTTTGTCCCTTGAGGCAGCCCTATTGGACAGCACTGAAGATGGACGCATGAGGATACACCTGTTTCTCTCCCAGGACCCATGGTGGCTTTTCATTTGCGGGGCAAACTCTGGGAGCCCATCGCAGAGCACCAGCTCAGCCGGCCTGCCCACAGGCTGCTCCCTGGTCCTTGTTTCTCGTTCTGAACTTCTGGGAAGCATCCAGGTCCTGGCATACTCTGCTCCTCACCCTGAGGGCCACGTATTCAGCTCTTGGGGTAACCCATGCCAGCATCCACTAGGTTTACATGATAGGGGATAAGGTTCACAGCACAGCTTCCTCCAGGCATTTCCTCCTGCAAAATCCTCCCTTTGTTGATGCAGTGAGTCAGTTGCTTGGGGTGCATAGCCAGTGAACACACGAAGTACTTTCGATTAAAGCAGAAGCATTTATTATTATCTGTGACAAGTAAGGGGATAGGGTGATAGCCTTCAAAGCACTGTCTTTCTGAACAGCAAGATCAGGAAAGTTTTAAGCTAAGGGTACATATATATTCATGAAAGGACAAGTGTGATCTTCCATGGGGAGGTGGAGTTCTAAATGCGCTTGCGCAGTGTGACAACATGCTCAAACAGACGATGCAGGTTCAAAAGCGGTGGCCATCCCTGCCCTTGGGGTGGAGATATTAGCATTTAAATGAGTCAAAGATCACTCAAGATTGAAAAAATCCGGGCGCCTAGCTGAGTGAGGTCAGGAGGGTCCGCAAACGTCATCATCGCCATTCCCTAGGCTTCAGTTAATCTGGTAGTTGAGCGGTTGAGGGGGTTTGGATCCTGCAGAACAGCTCAAGAATGTGCTTCCGGCTGATCTTTACCTTTGAAAGAGAACTGGGAGTCTTTATGACTAATTTACTACCTTTGCTATAACTACGTCTTTTGCCTGATAATAGTTGTTTGTTTCTGCATTCTTTGTTCTTTTTAAAATCATTATTACTGAGACCTATTCTTTTCACTTAAAGATGTAGGGAGCCATAGTTCACTTTTCTCCCAATCATCAGTAAAGAGAACACAGAAAAGTTCTGAAATTTATGCTCTGGTTCTTAACTTATGCTTGTCCAGTGCATGTTATAATTTCTCTTACTGCTTAGTATTCTGCTCCGCAAGAATACTAAGTGGTTTAACCCCTTCCCTTCCTTATTACTGTCTTGCTAGAACCTTCTCTCCATACAATGACCCCTTTTTGTATCCTTGATCTGGCTGAGGGGGTCAGAAACTAGTTGTTAAACATTTCTTTTGAAATTCTCCATATGATGATTTGGTACCTCACTTTGAAATTTCAACTATTGTACCTTGGTGCCCAGGTGAAATTCCAGTTGTAATATTCTGTTACAAAAGCATCTGGGACAGTTAAGATTGTGCTGGGAGATTGGGGCATCAGGTTCTAAATTCATACCAGCATCTTCTCTGTCAGAAAGGACAGGATGCCAAATGAACGGTCCTGAGGTAGAATGGCCACCAGAGGGCAGCGGATCCTGCTTCACCTCTGTTTCCTTTCTTGGGTTCATTCAACCCCCAGAGACCAGGCGGTGCCCAGGTGCTGAGCTAGGTGGGTGTGCTCAGCTCTCCCTGTATCTCAACCGGCTCCTCGATGTTGACCCTGATTTTCTGACTTTCTGCAGAACAACCACTATTCTTCCAGCTGAAGGATCAAAAGTGTCAGTCCGCGTTCGACAGTACCAGCTAGTTACCAAACACCTACATCGTAATGAGCCTAGAGAGTAAAGCCACACTCCATGCCCTGGAGAAGCCTAGCCAGGGCTGCGAACAGATGTGATGAAATGCAAAATAGCAACTACTGTTGTAGAGACAGAAATAAGGGCTTTGTACTGAACCCATAGAAACAGAGCGGGATGATTGTTGCCAGAGATGGGGGTGGGGGAAATGAGTGCAGGAGGTCAAAAGGTACGACTTCCAGGAACAAGATAAATAAGTTCTGGGGATGTAACACACAGCACGGTGACCATAGTTCTACTGGATTTTATATTTGCGAGTTGCTAAGAGAATTGATCTTAGAAGTTCTCACCAATACACACACACACACACACACACACACACACACACACACACACAATTGTAACTATATGAGGTGATGGATGTGCTAACTATGCTTATTGTGGTAATCATTTCACAATGTATACAACTGTCAAATCATTACATTGTATAATTAAATTTATACAATATTATATGTCAATTATATCTCAATAAAGTTGAAAAAAAAAGAAATAAGGCTTTGGGAGCACTGAGGAAGGAGCAGGAGCTGGAGAAGACTTCATGGAGGAGGGGGACTTGGAGTTGGTTTTTTTTCCAGAATGAGTAGGACTTTGGGGGAGAAGAGGCGTGAGGTAAGGGGGAGGCAGACTGACAAATCCTGGGGGACAAGCGGGTTGACAGGTGATGAGCGAGGTGGAGGGGAGAATTTGGTGGATCATCAGGACTGTGTCTGAGGACTGTGGGGAGACGGGGGCCCAGTGGGGGAACCCTGGGGAGACTCCATATCTTGTCGTCATAGAAGCAAGCGTCATTTCCCATGTTCCAGTCTCCAGGAAGAGGGGCTGAGGCTAGATGACTGCAAGGATTTTATTGAACTTGGAACTTATTACAGAAAATGAGGGATGGGCACCTTGAGTTTCTCAGAGAAGGAATGCTTGAAGGATTTGGTGGTGTTGATCCAGGATTAAAGAAGACTCACTTAGGGGTGCAGTGGTCTTGCGTAGCAGGAGAAGCAAGGCTTTGGATGGAGTCAGAGGGGTCTTGGAACAAATCCTGCTTCTTCCAATACCCAAATAACCCTGGGCTGATTGCCTTACTTCTCGAGTTTATTTCCTACTTTACAGGATAGTAAGAATAATTTCTACACACTAAGGATGCTGCAAGAATTGAGTGAGATAATACATGTAAAATGCTGAGCACAGTGCCTGGTAAGCGTTCATTAAATGGTAGCATATATTATTAGAATGATAATTACCTTCAGATGTTTCAAAGGTTGTCACATGGAAACGGCTGGCTTCTCTGTGCTGGTTCACCGGGCTGAACTTGCGATGCAGGTGAGAGGGAGACAGATGCAGGCTGGCTGCGAGGAAGGACCTCTTTCAGTCAGAACTGCCTGGGCCTGGAAGGGCCTGCCTTGCGTGTAGGGAGATTGCTGTCTCTGGAAATACCCAGAGGCTATCTGGGGAAGCTTACAATTAGGCCCAGAGCTGGACCACTAGGGACTCTTTCTAACTCAAATCTTTGGGATCCTGGGTTGTTCTGAAACTGTGCCTCAGTCTATGAGTGGGAGATTCTATGATCCCCCTTGGAGGAGAAGGGCCCCTGGGACAGGGAAGATGGAGGCGGCCGTGGAGAGAATCACTGTCTGTCCTGGTCCAGGGCCAGATCGCCTGAGGCCTTGGCTCTCCTGTCTCCTCGGGTGGTGGGGGGGGGCCAGGCAGGAGGCTCTGTCCCGTCCTTCCTCCTGCCTCCACGTGATGGAACTCCCCATTCTGCATAGGAAGTCTGGGAGTGGTGGGGGATGCTCTTTTAAAAGCCCTTCCCTTCCCCTCAGTAAAAGCAGTCCCGATTCTGGGGCCCCCTACCCGCTCATGTGTTGAGAAGCCCATCCTGAGACATAACCTCTGTCTTCCTCAGTGCGGTGTCCGGACCTCTGATGCTGCACCTTGTTCTCCGGGAATGTGGTCTCCTTATCTCTGTGTTACTCCGGTAGAGGCTGGGGAAGGGAGCCCTGGGCCTGTGAGCAACAGCTTCTCAGCCCTTCCCAGGATCTTTCCTTCCCAACCACTCTGAAGGCGGGAGATCTTTATCTGCTGCCCCCTGCCTGTGCCCCTTTCCAGGAGAGGAGAGGAGAGGACTTTGCTCCCTTCTTTACCAGTGGGTGAATGCCGGAGTGAACTCTTCTAGTCTCTCTCTGTCCCTTCCGCGCTCCTTCCTAGGAAAAGATTAGCTAATTTCACCAATCACTTCACTCATTCATTCAGTTCACTCATGAATTCAATTCAGATTCATTCATTGAGCTCCAACTGTTGGCCCAATAATTATTGTTCAAGGTCCCAGAGAGAATATGGTGAATATTAATGATTGATAAGTTCCCAGGTTTCATGGAGCTGACATTTTTGTGAGGCAGAAAGCATATAAATAAGTAAACAAGTGTCCGACTAAGGTATTTCAGAGCATGATAAATGCAGTGAGGGAATAAACAGGGTGAGGTGAGAGAAGTAACTGATGGGGGGGTAGGCGGGGCTGGGCACTGAATGGGGAGGCCGGGGAAGGGCTCTCTGAGAAGAGACAGTTGAGCTCCGACCTGCAGGATGAGCGGGAGTCAGCTATGCAGAGAGCAAGAGGAACAGCGTTTTAAGCAGAGGGAACAGCAAGGATGAACGCCCTGAGCTGGGAAAGGCACTGTGTGTCCCAGGACAATGAAGGATGCCAGTGTGGCCACCATGTATTGGAGAGGAGAGTGGAACGAGATGAGGTTGGGGGATACAGGTGGGAGCCTGCGGGCCCCAAGACAAGATTTGGACTTTACATGAAGTGCAGTTGGAAAACACCGAAGGGTTTCAAGCAGCAGAATGCCTGACATGCTTTGATATATACCTTAAAACTCTCACTTGTCTAAGTGCTGAATGGAAGGTGGATTGGAAGGGCGAAGAGTGGAGGCAGAGAGGTTAGTCAGGAGGCCCTGCAGACGTCTAAGTGGTAAATCATGGCAGTGGAACAAGGGAGATGGGGAGAGAGGGAGGAAGTCAGGATATATTCTGGAGATAGAGACGTATATATATTTTATTTTCAGATTATTTTCCATTACATGTTATTACAAGACATTGAATGTGGTTTCCTGTGCTGTACAGTAGGTCCTTGTTGTTTATCTATTTCATGTATAGTAATGTGTGTCTATTAATCCCAGCCCCTAATTTATCCCTCCTGGCCCTTTCCCCTTTGTTAACCATAGTTTGTTTTCTCTGTCTATGAGTCTGTTTTGGGGTTTGTAAATAGAATTTGTGTCTTTTTTTAATATTCCACATATAAGTGGTATCATATGATATTTGTCTTTCTCTGTCTGACTTACTTCACTTAGTATGATAATTTATAGGTCCATCCATGTTGCAGCAACAAATAGTGTTGTATTGTAAATAGTGCTGCTGTGAACACTGTGGTGCATGCATCTTTTCAAATTAGAGTTTTCTCTGGATATATGCCCAAGAGTGGGATTGCTGGATCATATGTTAAGTTTATTTTTAGTTTTTTAAGAAAACTTCATACTGTCCTCCATAGTGACTGCACCACTTTATATTCCCGCCAGCAGTGTAGGAGGATTCCCTTTTCTCCGCACCGTCTCCTGCATTTATTATTTGTAGACCTTCTAATGATGGCCATTCTGACTAGTGTGAGGTGATACTTTATTGTAGTTTTGATTTGCTTTTCTCTGATAATTAGCGATGTTGAGCATCTTTTCATGTGCCTGTTGACCATCTGGATGTTTTCTTTGGAGAAATGTCAGTTGAGGCCTTCGCTAATTTTTTGATTGGGTTGTTTTTTGGTATTAAGCTGTATGAACTGTTTGTATATTTTGGAAATTAGTCCCTTGTCGGTTGTGTCATTTGCAAATATTTTCTGCCATTCTGTATGTTGTCTTTTCATTTTGTTTATGGTTTCCTTTGTTGTGAAAAGCGTTTAAGTCTAATTAGTTCCCATTTGTTTATTTTTGCTTTTATTTCCATTACTGTAGGAGCTGGTTCGAAAAAAATATTGCTGAAATTTATGTCAAAGAGTATTCTGCCTGTTTTCCTCTAGGAGTTTTGTAGTATCTGGTCTTTCACTTAGATCTTTGATACATTTTGAGTTTATTTTTGTATACGGTGTTAGAGAATGTTCTAATTTCATTTTATACATGTAGCTGTCCAGTTTTCCCAGCACCACTAATTGAAGAGACTGTCTTTTCTCCATTGTCTATTTTTGCCTCCTTTGTTGTAGATTAATTGACCGTAAGTGCGTGGGTTTATTTCTGGACTTTCTATCCTGTTCCATTGATCTATGTGTCTGTTTTTGTGCCAGTACCATACTGTTCTGATTAGTGTTTTTGTCTTGAATAATTGCGTATGGAGGTTCTATTCAATGAGAGACCAAGATGAAGTGGACAAGTGTATTAAGATACTAGTTCAAATGCAGTATGAAGGTCATAACACCACGGCTTTAACAGAAGTTGAACAGGGGTAATACGGTGGCTCTGCAACATTCAAGACTCAGGCTCTTTCTATCTTGTAACTTTTTTTTATATGTGGCTTTTTGTTTAGTGGCCTAATATGGCAGCTGCAGCCCCCACCTTTTCATCTCATTCCAGTCAGTGGGAAGGGGATAAAACAGAAGGGGAAGACACACTCCTCTTCTGTCAAGGACACCAGACATAATTTGCTCTTATCATATTTGCTCATTTCCAACTGGCCACAGTCTAGTCACATGGCCACATCTAGCTGCAAGGCATCCTGGGAAATGTAGTCACTGGCTACGTGGGAAAATGGCAGAGTCAGTAGATTGGAGGCCTGGATAAGGTGAAAGAGTTGGCATAATTGGACTTCTAGAGTAAGGAGATGGAGGGTCAGGAGGTGGTCGACAGAGGATGGGATTGAATGGGAGATTTAGGAGGTTCCTGGAGTGAAGTGTAGGCTGAGGTACAAAGGTCAAGGACTGAGAAGCCGGCGTGTATGAGAGGTCCTCCGTGTGAATGGTGAACATCAGGAATGATGATGGAGCAGGTGCGGAGCGGAAGACCAGGCGCTGAGGTCCTCGGTGAAGGGGGGAGGGGCTGGGGGCAGGGGCAGGGGTAGAAGCAGCGGTGGGAAGCAGAGAGGGCGCCTCTTCCCACCTTCTGGCTCTGGGGTACTTGACGGTAAGCGAGAAAGCGGCTCCCGCTTGAGAGTCTTATAGAGGCTGAGAGATCCTTAGTAATTCTTAGGAAATCTTAAAATGTCATTTAAGATTAGGCAACTGAGAGAACACTCAGAGCAAGACATTGGCAGTGTCAAAGAGTCTGCTGATCACAGATCAGGAATTCTAGAGGACATGGTAACAGGGTTTGGGAGAGGGCAGCCGGGCAGAGGACTGGGCTGGATTAGGGGCAGACAAAGCCAAATGGAGATGGGCATCTGGATAACACGGTCCTGGAGGCTTTGACTTGGTCCTGATGATTACAGAGGAAAATAGAATAGGGATGACAGGCCCTTGGAGAACAGTTGGGCCAGGGTGTAGACCTGCATACCTAGCTGGATGGTTTGGGGCCTCTGGATGGGGGTAACTGATTCCTGTGGTACCAAGAACCAGGAGGTGTGAGTAGCGGCCAGGTCCGTGGGAGCAGGAGACGTGTGGTAGCAGAATAATGACCCCCAAAGATATCTGTGTTCTAACCCTCCAGAACCTGTGAACATGTTAGATTATGTGGCAAAGGGGAAATTAGGATTTGGATGGAATTATGGTTGCTGATTAACTGGCTTTAAAATAGAGAGATTATCCTAGATTTTCGGGGGGGGGTCCAATGAAACCTTAAATGTGAAAGAGAGATTTAGAAAGGAGAAACAGATTGATAGCAAAGTGAGAACTTGGGTGGATGCTGCTGGGTTTGAAAGGGGGAGAATGGAGCCATTAGTTAAGAAATGTGGGTGACCACTAGAAGCTGAAAAAAGGCACAAAAGTGGATCCTCCCCTAGAGCCTTCCCGTTGATTTTAGCTTAAGTGAGGCCCCTCTTGGACTCCTGAACTCCAGAACTGCAAGACAATAACTTTGTGTTGTTTTAAGCCAGTACATTTGTGGTAATTTAGAATTAGACATTGTAATTAGAAAACTAACACAAGATGAAAGGATTTCCTCTTCTGGGCGACTGCAGGCTGGGATGCCTTGGCAGCTGGCGAGGCTGGACTGTGTTTCAGCAGGGAGTGAAGTTAATGCATTAACAGGCATTTCCCTGAATGGCATTGCCTCTCCCTCTGCTGCCCTCTCTTGATGCCAAAACACACTTGGACAGGGCTTCCCCTCCCCTCCTCTCCCCTGGGGGATGTCTGCTGTTTCCCTCTCTGGTAGCTTGGGGAGGAAGGAAGGAGAGGAGGCCCCTTTGGGACCGTGACTCAGTCTCGTTCTGCAGCTCAGCTTGCAGAGAGGTCAGAGGGTTGTCTGGCACTGGCCTGGCCATTCATAAAACGGGTACTGTGCTCTCCGTTTTGCTCTCTGTTCCCTGGGCACTTTCTCCACTGGCCGCACTCAGAGTAGTAGAGGGATGGCATGGGTGGGCCTCCCTGGAGCCTTGACGGTAAAACCAAGGACTGGCTTTGGGGCACACAGTACAGTGGATTTGACAGGAAAAGGCTCTGAAGGTGCAGTTGAAGCTGGAATGAACTTACTCCGGTTCTTCGTGGGTACAGAGCACAAGACTGTTAAATTGTGGTTTCAGGTTATTTGTGCTAATCTTTAGTAACTGATGCTCGATTGGCTGTCCCAGGTCCTAACTGTCTACGTGGTTACGAACTTCATTTAGGGCTACAGGGGGAACCACGGAAGGATTTATTTATGGCCTGTCCGCAGGATCCTAGAAGTATTTTTCACTACACAGTCTCAAATTGGCTTGGGGCTGTACATTTATTAAGTAAGCCCTGATCCGGGGTGCATTTGTCAGACACCCACTGTGGGATTAAGACAGGGATGTGGTGGACCTAACACTGATCAAAAGGACCAGGACCCTTTATATAGAGGAAATGCCAACGTGGATGAGAGCGGAGCAAATCTCAATGGAATGATTACAAACGTGAACAGTAAGAGAGAAATGAACACATCTTGTGCCTGGAACATTCTGTTTCTGGAAGTCAGAGTTATTCGGGGAATCAAGGAGGCAGGGGGGGTCCACGTGGGATACAAGTTTTGGTCTTGGGGTGAGAAAAGTCAGCAAGAAAAAGAAAGAGAAAAAGAAAAAAGTTCTATTGATTGAGCTGGGGGAAAAAGTAAGATTTTCTCGGGAGAAAGTTTGAGTTTTTAGAGGGCGTGCTTGAGATATATGAAAAGAAAAAGGACGGAATACCTAAATGCTTTTACGGACGGAACTGGAAAAGAACAAAGTATGTATCCATTTCTAGATCAGGGTGGATGAGGGGGGCAGATTTAACAACGATGCAAAGTGGAGTGAGGCCGCTAGAGGGAGTGAGGACCCAGCCAACTGTAGACAGTTGCCTGGGGTGGGGGGAGGGGGGAAGGACCAGGGGGTTCCCTGGGAGTTTTGTTAGGTAAATTGTAAAGGGACATGATTATTTTCGAGGAGAGTGTTGTCCACACCCTGAGGGGACACGCCCAGGAATTTGTGGAGTTAGGACCGACCCTCCATGTAGTTACTGAGAAGATGAAACACACACTAAGGAGAATTCAGGCAGGAAAGAAATAGATCTAATCACATATGAGTTAAATTGGGACTATTCAGAGCATTATTTTACGTTTCTACATATTACAAGATGACAGAAATGTTTTAAATGTCCCTATTTGGGAGAAGAGACAGTAGGCACGCCACCCCCCCACCAACAGTAAACTTCATGCCCCAAATCAAGCTCTCCATGGGAGGTTTCTCCCCGTTGAGGTTTAAGCTCACGTGTTAGGAAAGAGCTGGTACTGACTGAGAGCATCCTGCGAGGTGAAGTCAGGTTTTCGCTCTTCTCTCTTGGATACCACCGAGTTTCCGCCGTGGTGTGATGCTGGCATTGGCAACCTGATTGGTGAGCTCAGTGTCCCCAGGTGTCACTAAGACTGTCATGGAGATGCCTGGCCACCACCTGTTTCAGCTGCATTCTGCCCCTGGCTAAGCAAGCCAACTTCCTGCCCCCGTCCTGCCCGCTGAAGAGGACACGAAGGGCACGGATGAGGCGGGCTCTTCCTGCAAGCAGCAGCAGCACCAGAGAATCTCCGCGGAGCACAGTGGAACTCCACAACATCTTTCTTTTTCACCTTGCATCCTCATTAAGGGGGTAGAATGATAGAGACCAGAGATGGCTCCTGAGTTGGAAAACTTCAGTTTTCCACTTGTGAGTCTTTAGTCTCACGTGGAACACTTCATTTCTGACACTTTTGGTTACCAAATGTGTGTGGTTTTTTTCGCCCCTACCAGGCAATTCTGTGACACCAGCTGAGTGTCCTACAATTTAACTCAATTCTGTGACTATCTACCTGGAGATGGTGTCAGGTCCCCCAGGTTAAGGGCTCAGGCCCATAAGACTGTTCTTATTCTACCTCAGATGCTGATCTCAAGTTCAGGTTTTCACCTGTGCTTTTGACCAATGGGCTATAAATTAGAAGTTCCCATGAGCCCCTAGTAGAGTTCAATTAATTTGCTAGAGCAGCTCACAGAACTCAGGGAAACATATTTACCAGTTTTTTCAAGGACAAGATAAAGGAAAAAGATGAACAGCCTGATGGAGAGATACGTAGAGCGAGGCCTGGGAGGGTCCTGATGTCAGGGACGTCTGTCCCCATGGAGTCAGGGTGCACCTTCCTCCTGGTATGTGGACGTGTTCCCCATCTGGAAGCTCTCTGAACCCCGTTCTATTGGGAGTTTATGGAGGCTTCCTCAGGTAAGCGTGAGCTATTATTCACCCTCTTCTAGCCCTCTCCCTTCTTTGGGGAAGTGGTGGGCAGGGCTGGAAATTCCAAGCTTCCAAAATTCAGTTACGGCTAATGCTCTTATCACTTAGGAAATCAGGAGCTCCGTGCCAGGAACTAGGGACAGAGACCAAGATGTACATTTTCTAGCATCTCACAGCTCCCTTCCTCCCATCCTATCTGCCTGTGTGTGAACAGTCTTCCCGCCATTTGTAAAGGAAAAAAAAAAGAATTTTCTTTTTCCATGCTTTTCTCCCCCCATGGAGGCCCCTATGCCTTTTTGGTGAAAACTGGCAGGGGTTGGGGGGAGTTGGCACACGTTAGGTAGGCGAGTGTGGCACATGGTGAGCACTTGGTGAAGCTTGTTCAGTGGGTACGTGGAGCCAGCTACCCTGAAGTGAAGCGGAAGTCTTGGCAGATGAGGATGTAGAGGAAGAAGGGTGGGGCGAGGCCAGAGGACAGAGGATGGGGCCCTGGGAGCACAGCATGCAAGTCAGAAAATGTTCAGGGACTGGAACAGGGAGCTTGGAGAACCAGGAGAGTGCAGCATCCTGGAAGGCCCGTGAGGAGAATGTTTCTGGAAGGGGCAATTGTGTGCAGGTCTACAGAGAGAGAAGGGAGTCAGGACTGCGAAAGAGTCACGGGGTTGGCTGTTGTCAGTGAGCTTTGGGAGAGCAGTTGCTGCGGGCTGGTGGGGGGAAAAGGCAGACTGCAGGCAGGTGAGTACCTGGTGGGTTCGGGCACTGGGGGCTGCGGGCACAGGCAGGCCAGGAGGTGGAGGGGCAGCTGGAGGACGGCCGAGATTTCACAAAGGATATTCTGGAGCGTGGAGAATTGAACGTTTGTAAGCTGAGGAGGAGGAGGGTTTTAAAATCAAAGGGGTAACTAAGGACAGAGTGGGGACCTCCAGCCTTCCTTTCTGGCACAACAAAGCCAACACAGAGCCAGGCTTGGGATGCGATGCTTTAATAAGGAACGTGAGGGGCTGAGAGACGGCGGTGGTCAGGCGAGCGGTGAGGGTGCTGCAGGCACCTGCTGCTGTCCAACCTGGGACGTGAGCATCCCCGTCATTGGGGCTTCACGACTTCAGGGGCATGAGGGAACAGGCTTTTCAGAAAGTCCATGGTTTCTCTCATGGTGTTTTCCAGATTCTTTATGATTTTATGAGTGAGCTCCACCAGTTTTCCCTCTAAGGTTGTTGCTGGGGAATATTGGGAGAGAAATGTCAGAGCAAAGCTGGCCCCCGACTCTCCCCCTCCCCCGCTCCAGCAACAATTTTCCACAGTGCTGGCAAAGGCAACTAGTGTGTGCTTTGACCTGCCTTTAATTCCCCCTGCAGCTTCCTTTCTCTTTCTAACCTCAACTCTTCCCCTATCCCCTCGGCCTTTGGCTGCTTAATGTTTTCCCAGCCTCTTCCGCTCTCCCCTGGCTCCTACCAGCCCCGGGAGTGACTTCTTCGGTCTCTTCTGACTGAGTGGCAGTATTTCTGAAACTGCTCTCCTGTGGCACGGGGTGAAGCAGCTTGGGATTCTGATTCTGGTGTCTCCTGGCAGATTTGATCACAACATCGTCTTTGGAAACCAGATCTTCTCTGGAGATGGAAGGCTCCATAGAAAGGTCCTCACTGGAGACCTGATGGTTGCTCATGATGACCTGGGCAGCTGGGACTGAGGAGATGCAGGAGGCAAGGGCAGAGAGAGAGCGCATGCTTGAGGAGTAGCCAGCCAGTGCGAGGTCATCTCCCGTCACACATGGAGGCTATCAGGGTCGCGTCATTACCCAGTTAGGGTAGACCAGGACTGACGTCCCATGCCAGCATCCAAATCCATGAGCACCTAAAGGGCACACCTTGATTCTGGATGCCTTTGAATAGAAATTGCACTTCTAGCAAATTTGCCTTTCTAACTAAAAGAGGTTGACTATGCAAACACCTGTCCCATGGTCTGGTGCGTTGGAGGGGGCTCAATAAGTATTGGTCCTTTTCCTCTGAATTTTGGGTATGGCTTGAGTCTGCCTTCTCTGGCTTCTGCCAGGTAAATTGGGGGAAGCTAGCCTGAGAATAAACCGCAGTTACAAATAATCCACGAAGTGGAATCCTGCAATGTTCATGGCTTTGGGGATGTGTGGGTGGGGAGCTCGGGGCAGAGGACCCCCTGCGGCATCCTCACCTTGGGGTGAGCTGAAACTCCTTACCCGCTAGCATTTGGGTACACAATGTAGTCCCCCACTCCCATCTCCAGTGACTATCCAGCATGAAGTGCTGTTCATATTGTTTCTGGCCCCCAGAACTTGGCCAGTTAGTGAGGCAGGAAGGATTCAAGTCCCACACTGGGAGGGACTGGCTTTGCTTTACTTCTTCCTCAGATGGAGAATTCATCACTTACTCCCTGGACAATGTTTCACCACCACCACCTTGCTCTAAAGGATGCTGACATGAGACTTACAGGTATCTGTGGGCTGAGACTCCATGTAGATTTCATCTTTTGGCTCTGAAAAATAAGGGGTTAAAGTCTCCAGCAATCTTAAGACATTTAACACGTGAGATCCTCCACTCCTGCCCCAGCACTCGCCACCCTCCTTATCTTGCTCTGTTTTCCTCAGCGCTTCTAACACACTCTCATCTATTTCACATGCTTATTGTTTGTTTCTTCCTTCTAGAATGTAATCTCAGTGATGACTGAGGTCTCTGTTTTGAAAGTGTTCCCAGGCACCTAGAACTATGAGTCTGGCACGGAGCAGGTGCTCAGTAGAACGCGATTGAAGGCATGTGTGTGCATGTTTCCCCTCACAGTACAGAGGGAGGCAGGGAGGTCCACAGAGGGGTAGTGACTCTGCCTGGGGTGTTCAGCACCCTCTGAAGCTGGAATCTAATCTGAATCACTGTTGACCCATAGCCTTCCCTGATTTGGGTCCAGTTCGGCTCCTCTGGCCCCAGCCCCAGGCTTTCTAAGGCCCAGGATTCCTGGAGTGATGTGCCCTTGTCCCTTGTCCCCTGTCCCCCCTCCCTATCATCTCAGGTGTGGCTGTTTGGTGCTGCTTCTCCCCACCTCTCCTCACAGCACATTACAAGGATTAAAAAAAGGCCTTCAGAATGCTGAGGTCTCTCTGGCTGACAGCTCAGGGAACCGAGGGGGAGTTTGACGGAAGCCAGACTCACCATTAAGGCTGACGAGAGAGGCGGAGGTCAAGCTGGCCAGCAGCAGGACGGCGAAGAATTTCATGGTGGGGCTGGGGCAGGATCTGTCTGCCCGGGGAGGCTGCTTGGTGTTGCGAGGAGGACACTTGGCAGGGGCTTTATTTATTTCGGGGTACGGATGGGCTCTGGGAACCTGGTTCAGGGTTGGACCTGGGGACATTCCAGGTTTCCCCTCCCAAGTTCCCTATTCTGGATACATTTGATTTTGGGAACTGGAGCTTCTGGGAAACCAATTAATAGGAAAGCAAGGCCATTAGTATTCCCCCGGGCTCGGATGTGCCTGGGGCGCCTGCCCCAGGCTCCGCAGTGACTTGGCACTTACTACTAGTAGAATTTTACTTTTATTTGTGTGATGATTTAATTAATAGCTATCTTCCCCGGGAGAATGAGACTTCCACGGTGCCTGGGTTACACCTGCTTTACTTGCATTGTTTATCCAGCGCCTGGGAAAAGAGCTCGCATGTCGTAGGGGCCGGAATATCTTAGCAGAGCGAATGAATGAATAAAGAAGGGCTAGGCTGTCCTCTAGGCTACAGATAAAGCTCCCCACGTGTTCAGGAGTGGAAGGGTCAGGCAGTTAAAGGGATTCCAGCCCCCTGCCAGGCATTGTCCTGAGTTTGTTCACATGGGCTCTTTATTTAATTCATGAGGGTTGTGAGGTGTGTGTTATTTATCAAGCAAAGAAACATGTTCACGGAGGTGAGGTGTCTTGCATAAAAGATCACACATCTGGGTGGATTTGGACCCAGGTTAGGCTAACTCCCAATCCTAGGTCCTGCATGTGGGTGAGATGGAGCAGCGGGACAAGAGGCCCCCGGAAAGGCCGCAGGGGCTGAGCCCAGGACCTGAGGCCTGGCCCCGGCCTAGGACTGGGCCAGTTGGCCTCCTGCGCTCTGCTGTGGCTGGAGGTTTTGATGGCCCCTCTGGAACCTGTGTTTGGATCATCTCCAGGAAGGCGAGGGCTGCTGTCCCGGTGACTGAACCTCCTGACTCAGCAGGGAGCATGGCGCCCAGCGCATGTGGGGGTCCCACGGAGGGTAAGGTCCCCCCTGCAGACCGCCCCCTCTCTGGGCTGTGCCCACTGAGCCGGGGCAGGAGGGAAGAGCCCTGGGGCTGTCTGTCATCTTCCAGTTGCTAAGCGCTGCTCTCTCCTTAGGTGAGCCTGTGAAGGGAAGGAAGTTTATCTTGGGCTGCCTCCTACCTCCCCCTCCTCCCCGGATTTCCCCCGCTGATGGGCAATGTCCCCTCTCACAGGCCAGGGCGCTCAGGAACCGGGCAGGGACAGAGGAGGGCATTCAGGGCATCCTGGAGGATGTGGTTACAGCCCTGCAGGCATATTTCCTATTTACCCCTAATAATCTGCAAGTTTAGGCCTCCCTCACTTCCAGGCTGGGCTGTTTCTCAGTGTTTCTCACTGTTCTTCTGGCCTCCAGTCTGTCCCCACTGTGCAATCCATTCTCCGTGCTAATGCTGGAGGAATCCTGGAAGTCCAGGCCGCTTTCACACTCAAAGCCTCTAATGACCATCCACGATCCACAGGATAAAGTCCAAACCCCTTGGCCACGTGTTTGAGGCCCTTCACCTTTCTGACTTTATCTCTTGCCCTTTTGAATTCTTCCCTGCTCTCTGAGGTCTTAACCTGTTCACGCTGTTCCTGTCAGGGACGCTCTCTCCTCTCCGTCTGCCTGCTGTGTTCCTACCTCGTCACCCACGTCAGATGTCACCTCCTCCCTGGGGTGAACCCCACCTTCTCACCGTGACACCTCCTTTGGTTGATCACCTCATCTCTGCAGTCCCATAACACCTTCATATCTTCATCTTTTCATGATTCCATCCCCATCCCACTACTATTTCTTTCTTTCTCTCTTTTTAAAAAAAAATAATTTTGTTTGTTTTTTTTTGGTAGGGGGAGGTAGTTAGGTATATTTATTCATTTATTTTAGAGGAGGCACCGGGGATTGAATCCAGCACCTCGTGCATGCTAAGCATGAGCTCTGCCACTGAGCCCTCCTCCCTTCTCCCCTGCCCACTACTATTTCTGGAGGGCCTGCCGTGTTGCAAGTTTTGGAGATACGATGGTGAGGAAAATCGCCCGGCCCTGGCCTGATGGCCTACGTTGTCTAGTGTTTATCACATTCAATTATAACTCTCTATTTAGGTCGATTGTTCGTACTGGTCAATTACCATTTTGTGGACAAGAGCCATAGTTTATCTCTGTATCTTAATTTATTTAGCACAGATCCTAGCACTTGCTAAGGGCTCCAGTCTGGTAAATCGAATGAGTCAATTTGTCCATTCAAAGCTGGCCCCTGGGGGATGTGTTTACCCTTAGCGGGGAGGGAACCTCTGAGAGGCCTTCTTCAACAATTAAATAACCATAATGTGTGGGTGTCTGCTATACACCAGGCACGCTATGGGGACTGAGCTTCAATAGGGAGCAAAACAGACTGTGGCCCTTCTACCCCAGGTAGGGCTGCCAGATAAAATGCAAGTTACTCAGTTAAGTGTGAATTTCGATAAGCAGTGAATAATTTTTTTAGTACATGTTTCAGTGTATGGGACAGACACTAAAAAGTTGCTTATTGCCTATCTGAAATTCACATTTAACTGAATGTTCTGTTTATTTGCCAGGTTTGGCAATCCCACCCCAAGACTCCAGACCACCCTCCACCATCTGTCTCTTTGAGACCCAGCCTCCTCCTGTGTGCTTAGGGGCTCAGGTGGAGGGGACAGATGGACAGAAGGGGTGTCCAGTGCCACACTTGCAGCTTCCTTTTGAGAAAATAACTCACAGTGGTTCTTTACACTCAAGTTCCTGACTTTGGGTCAGATGACCGTGTTACTCTGGCCACTGCTGTTGGGTGAGGAAGTCTGGGTCTCATCCAGAGGGAACCACCAATGGGCTGGACATAAGGAAGACCAGTGGCTTCTGAAATGGCCTGGGTGGGAGACGTGTCTGTTTATGATGCTCCTACTGGATGATCCCCAATCAAGTCAACGAGATCCTGCTCAGTGAATTTTGCATGTGAGACAGAGAGAAGGAAAATGCAATGAGATGTAAAAGCAGTGGGTGCAGTGGAGGCGAGGAGGCGGCAGAGAGATGCCAACAAGACAGAGAGAGGTAATACATGTGTAACACATGTCCTGGGGCTGACGTTATGGCAAAGTGACTGTGGCCAGAGCAGCTGGAGGGGCTCACGGTCCAGCCACGCTTTCACCCTGCACAGCACGGCACGAGGCCTGCCGAGATGCTTTCCTGATCATCCTTCCTTCCCAGTGTCACTGGATGTAAACTGAGTGAGTCTTATAAACTTGAAAAAGACCACTTTGTTCAAAAGAGCATTCGCTTTGAGTCAGGCACCTGCATCCAAGGGTCAGTATGCCATTACCTCACTGTGTGGCCGTGAGCCAGCCACTCCCTGTCTCTGGGCCTCATTCTCCTCCTCAGCAAGGAGAGGAAGGGTCTAGGGGGATCTCCAAGGATCTCTAGGATCCCTGTTCCAGGATCTGACACCCCCTTGGGTCAGGGGTAGAGGCTTCTTTGGAGACAATCATTTCAAGAAGATGAACAGCATCGGGCTGGTTAGCCTTGAACTTCAGTACACACCAGAGCTGGGGACCCTCCCTTCCTCTCCAGTAGTGGTCTGAGATGCAGCCCAGGAATCTGCATCTAAAAGCCAGAGTCCTGGGCAGTTCTGATGTGGAGGCACTGAGGATCTCATGCCTTTTGGCTGACAGAATGGCTTCTAAGCAAAAGCTCAAACTTTTTTTCTGGTAAGGATTTTGGGAGGCAGAGAGTCTATTCTTCTGAGTGTGAGTGTGTGTGTGTGTGTGTGTGTGTGTGTGTGTATGTGTATGTGTTTACTAGGGTGGCTGCTGGCCTGGAGCATGGGGGCTGGAGCGGAGGAGCAGAAGGAGACTAATAGTTTGTGAAGTCTGACCTTGAGCCAGATACAGGATGATTTAATTCTCACAGTAGTTGGCAGGGTAGTATTAATAGCCTCTGGCAGATGGGAAAACTGAGGTTTTTGAGCCCGAAATTGAGGCTCAGAGAGATTAAGTAAGTGTACTAAGTGACATAGTTGTCAACTGGCATGGCTGAGGTTCGAACCCAGATCTGTTTGATTCCCATGCTCTCCCCATAATGCCCTCCCCACCCCTACCCCAAGCACCACCAGAGCCCACCCCACAGTATAGCAACCGGAATCCCTCGGTTTCCCAGCGGGGCTCTGTTTCACTTATCTGTGCTGTTTCCCACAAATCCATTGACTATCCCGGGAAATCAACATTTCTGTCTCCAAACCCTTCCCAGACTGCATCTCCTCCCCAGGAGCAGCAGGGAGCCTGTTACTAGAACAGGGAGAAAATAAGGCCTTGGACAGGGGAGTTCAGAGGGTAACAGAGTCAGAGGGAGCTGGTCCACGCTGGAGGAGGGGGAGTGCGGGGGGTCAGGTGGGAGTCAGCCGGGGGCAGCCAAGTGCCGAAAGATCCCGCTCCCAGGGGACCCGGAGCAGGTGGGGAGGCGAGAGCAGCTTCTGTCTTACTTCTCAGTCAGGCTCCAGCCATTCTTCCAGAGTGAGTCTCCAGCTGTCTTCTTCAAGGTCACTGCTGACAAGTCCACTCCAGCCATATCCAGTTTCTCTGCAGGAAGGTCTGAGCCAGACTTGGCTCCATCTGGGACGCCAGTGGAAAATGCTCTCTGTGGGGAGACAGGGCCTCAGGAATGTCACCCACACTGCCTCCTGCTCAGCGCGCCCCTCCGCCTGCTTGCCACACAGCCTGGCGCGCTGGCCTGGGAGCTGCCCGCTGCGGGTGTGGCAGCTGAGGGACCAGCTGCACTGAAAGCTGCAGTTCCTGGGCTGCCTCAGGACCACTCACCCCCCCCACCCCAGCCCCGGGGCTCTGGGCAGGCATTTTCCCTCTCATCTTAAAGCCTTTGTGGACCATCCCTCAGACAACAAACACAGTATCCTAAGTTGAATGTTTTCTGTCATTAGCTCTGATCTGTAAGGTTTTATTTCAACGTGAGGATTGGAGGCTGTGGGAAGGGGCTACCAAGAGTCAGGATGGTTGGAGGTCAGATACCCTGGGGGCCAGGGGAGCTGTCCTCCCCACTTGCACACTGAGAGGTGAAGTGAGAATGACAGAGTGCACGGGGTGGGGAGGGATGGCGGC